TCTTCTCCATTCCGATACGTATCTTTCTTGTTTATAGTCCTTCAAATATGCTGAGATTTTCGCCATTTCTGCTAAATTCGTTACTTTCAATATCCACTCTTCAATATTAGGCAAAGAGTCCTTCTTCTAGTATTGCGTTACCAACAGCCTAGCTGCTGATATTATAAGTTGCTCGGGTCAATCGTTGTTCCCTTTGCTCTCCCTTCTTAGATGGTTCCAGAGTTGGGGGTAGACCCCCCAAGATCCAGGTCTTCTTCCATAGTAATTCCTCCATCTGCAACGTCAGCATAAGTTTGTAGCTGCTTTCCATCTTTTTCTTGTTGTAGCATCTCCATTTTCTTTCTACCCCCCCCCCCCGTGGTGAGGGTGGGTATCCAGCCTTTAGAACATTAACATAAAAATCTTTTACCTTCCAAACTGTGTTTAACCGGTATCTTTTGTTGCAATCATCTGGCGGGCTCCCCATGAGGAGTTCAGATTAGAGAAGACACAGGACAAGTGTTTCTCGGGATGAGAGAGCCTCGAGCTAACTCCAGACTCCTCTTTTATTATACAAGGGTATAGGGCGTATCAGAAGGCATGATTACAGCTATACATTCTCATATTACATCCGTGATACAAAGGATTTTCTCCATATCTGGACATAACTTTCACATCCTACCATATTACAGTAAATCACATGAATTCTAGGAAAGCGATACCTAAGGTAGAAACAAAACTTAACTCTTGCTATGTTATCATATTTGGCTTCATTCCCAGCATATTCTTCTGCTAGCCGAGAGGCCCATCTCCCCGTTATCAAAGGTTACCTCAGTCCTCAGGAATGTTCTACAAGGAGATGTCTATGCCTTGCAAACACAGCCTCCATTCTAAATAGAGCCTCTCCAGTGGTCATCTAGCTGAACCCGCTTTTCCTACTCAGATTATTTCGGTGCCAAGCTCCGTACACGTGTCCAACCAGTTAGGCCGATCTACACATATACTATGGCCACCTGATTCCCACAATCTTTCTCCACTATAAGTCACTATTAAACCAGTTGGAACATCCCATCTGTACGGCACTTATTGATTTCTCAGTTCATTTACCAAAAAGCCAAAATCCTTTCTGTTTCTTAACATTTTTGGGGGGATCTCTTTCAAAACCACCACTTCTTGCCTTAGCCACTTGAACCTTATTCTTGTAAGAAGCTTGTAAGATGTCATTTCTAATCCTCCTGGTTGTCTTGGCAACTGTCTTTGTCTTGCCAGCCAGGAGTTCTTTAATTATCTCTGCAATAGCTTCAGCACAAATGTCCTTTAGATTTTCCTTACTATTTTCTTTCAGGCCTCTCAATCTCAAGGCAAATTCCATGGATCTGTATTGTAACATTACCAATTCATCATCCACCCTCTCTGTTTTAGTCATAATATCTCCCACTTTGTTTTCCAAATTCAAATTGGCTTCGTTAATTTCTTCCACTCTCTCTTGCACCTGAATCTGCATCACCCACCAAATTTTTATCCAAAATGCCTTGATTTTCTTACAGGTCCACCATATATGATAATAGGTTGCATCATCACATTCACATCTCCAACATTTAGCTTGCAAATTCGAGTACATACATGATAATTTTTTAGGATCTAAGTGCCATCTATAAAACATTTTATAAAATTTCTCAAATTTTGTGCTTGCGTAAATTTAACATTTCTAACCCAAATCTTTTCCCATGTTTCCATCATCACTGGTTCCTGGAAATTTTGTGCCCATTTTATCATGCAATCCTTAACCAATTCCGTTTCTGAATCTATTTCCAATAAAGCATTATACAACCTTTTAATATGCATCTGACTTTAATCTCTAATCTGTTTCACCAAATTTTCCTCATTTTGCATGACACCAATTTTTTTGATCTTCCCTCCATCTAGCTTGAAGCTGACCATACTGAAACCAAGTATAAATTATCCCTTCTTCTTTTAATACATCTAAGGATTTCAATTGCAACTTACCCCTTTCCCAGCAGCTTTAATCCGCTCTCACAGAGAGTTCTCAATAAGCACTTTCGTTTCTGACTTTCACTTTCACACCCATAACAAAGGCGCCATGTTCAGCCTCCAGCTCAAAGAAATTCAATTTGAAACAAAGTAAGTCCAGAGTTAAGCACTGTTACTTTAAAGCTTGTTCTCCTATTTCTGCTCTGCCTGCGCTTGTAATCAATCAAACTCACTTTTGACAGCAGGATTGGTCGCGGCATCTAGCTCTGTTTAAACAGAGTTGTCCTGGATTCAGAGCTTCTTGGTGGGCTGACTGGGGAGCTCTCACCCTCCAAGCCTCTGGAGTTATTCCAGAGGACTTTCGGGGAGCTCTGCTCACACCCCACCGGCTCTCCTATCCTTCTTCTCCCGATGGAGAGGTTTTTCAGCCGCCAGACAGCCGATTAGCGCTGTCAAAGCGGCTTTTACGAAGTCACGGGGCTGGCGGTCTAAGGAGACCGTCCACGAAGCCTGCGGTGCCAATCGGAAGTCCGGAAAAAAATGACAAATTTGTTGAATGGAAGGCTTATGACTGTTACTGAAAAGAAGGGTAGCTATATTGTCACTTCTTTCTTTTTTTTTTTTTTGAAATGTCAGAAATGTTTACTTATACATTTTAAGTTTTTTGTTTATTATTCTTACTTTAACAGATGCAAATAAATGAGTAAGATGGGCAAATTTTCATTTTTCATTTAGTTGCGTAATAATTCTGCACACTAATAGTTCACCAATAAGTGTGGCAAAACACAACTTGCCTAATAATTGTGCACACAGTATGCATTTTGAGCAGAATTTTTTGAGTATAATGAAATGCATGCTAGAAGTTTAAATAACTAGATGATAAGGTTGGTTTTAGATACTGCAGGTGTACTATATTATCTGTGCTGCTAATCTGAATAGATCATAATTGTAGACTAAGATATTACCATTACTATGGTTTGCCCACATGAGGAAATGTCAATGTTAGGTACCACTACTCCCTGTCTAATGGGGCAGAAACATTTACCTTTTAACTGATCTCAGAAATTATGATTTGAGTAAACTACTGTATTTTTCCGAATATAAGACACACCTTTTTCTCTCCAAAAAGGGGGTGAAAATTTAGGTGCGTCTTATACACCGAATGTAGCCCTGCCCACCAACTGGCTTACCCTTTGGCCTCTGCCTCCCGGCAGTTACCTCCTTGCAAGCAAACAGCAAGAAAAAACAGCTCCTTTCAGCTTCAGCACAACCTAATTAGCACAAGTTGATTGGATGGCCTCCCGACTCTCAGCTGATTTGCTCTCAGCTGTTTTGCGCAGGGCTCTGCTGCTTGCTGCAAAGAGGTAAATTGCTGGAGCAGATTTTTTTTTCCTTGTGCTAATCAAGCTATGATGAAAATGAAAATGAAAGTAAAGCAGTCTGTTTGCTGTTTGCTGCAATGAGGCAGAATTGCTCAGAGGCAGAGGGAGATTTCTTTTTCTTCTTTTCCTCACCAAAAAAGGTATGTGTGTCTTATATTCCGATGAGTCTTATACTCCGAAAAATATGATAATATTCAAACAGAGTGGTTTTAAGGCTCCAAAAATATGAATAATCTATTGTAGCTGCAATATTCTAGCAGGTTCATATATTGTCCCCATCCAAATTATATTACCCCCTTAAATAATCACTTAATTCTAGGATTATGAGAAAAGTAAAACAAACAAAATAGTCCCCTGGTAAATTATAGAAACACTGTGATAATATGCATACCACATAGCACACTTAATGGTATTTGCCAATATAAATGTATTGATCATTATAAAATATATCATTTCCTACACTTTTTGGCTCCTTCTCAACTTCTGAAACTTCTAAAATATGAAAAATCAGAAAATATGGAGTTGTAAGCGCTTGGAAAATGAAAGGCAAAGTCCAAAACACAATGGGGAAAAATGGGGTTGCACTCATTTCTATTACTAGAATACATTTCTATATGAAATCCCTTGAAAACATAAAAGGCAAAAGAGGATAATTGAAAAAAGAATTCAGATTAGTACAATTATATTGGGATGCTGGCAATGGAAATTAAATGAAGATTGCAGACACATGCAGACACACACAGACAATCAAGTTAGGAGACTTAAGAAAGAAAATTAAAAGAACTATTGTTCTATTTATCTTGTGGGATTCAAGCTAAAGATGTAAGAATTGATTTATGATAGTTCCATGTTATTTCTTCATGTATTAATATTCATTCAGTTCCACTTCAGTTCAGAAGAGAACATAGCATAATTATACCTGTTGAAATATTTTTAGGAATAATTAGATTAATTTGTTCAGAAATATGGACAAGATAAAATTCTCATCCCTAATTTGAAAAGCTGTAGAGGTAGTCCTTGACTTTACAACCATTCATTTAGTGACCATTCAAATTTATAACAGCACTGAAAAAGGTGATTTATCATTGGTTTTCACACTTAGGCATGTTGTAGTGTCCCCATACTTACGTGATCAGAATTCAGGCACTTGTCAATTGGTATGTATTTATGATTGTTGCATTGTCCTGGGGTCATGTGATCACTTTGTAACCTTTCCTACTGGCTTCTCCAAGCTAAATCAATGGTGGAAGTGAGATTCACCTAATGACCACATGCAATAACTTAATAACTGCAATAATTTGCTTAACTTCTGTGACAAAAAAGATTGTAAAATGGGACAAAACTCACTTAACAACTGTCTTGCCTAGCAATGGAAATTTTGGGCTCAACTGTGGTTGTAAGTTGAAGACTACCTGTAAAGTAGAGGTATTCTATAATTAACATTGTAATGCGTATTTGAGATAGTAAAAAGTGTTCTGTTTGAAGTTTCGTGGATTTTTATACAGTTTTATAAAGTAATACAAACATAACTAGATCATTATAAGCATAATTTTTATTTTATGAAGTTGATTTTCTAAATATTTGTTAAAAGTAAATGCTTTATGAATGTTTTAATGTTTGGTTTTTTAAAAAATGTATATATTTCAGATCATTCAATTTTCCTTGCGTGACTATGTCCAGTATTGGTATTATACACTAAGTGATGATGAATCTTTTCTTCTTGAAATCAGGCAGACTCTCCAAAATGCACTAATTCAGTTTTCTTCTAGGTAAGAATTTTTTTCAGTATTTTTCAAACAAGTCTGTAAAAATGTCCCAATATTTTATAAAAGGAAGTTAAACACATTTATGGCAAATATTGTGTTTCACAGAACAATATTGTCTTTGCTTAATGAACATAAAGAATTAAATGAAGTTCAGAGACTATTTGAAATTATATTGCTGCTGAATGAAGAGACTTATGACATACTCTAAGTTATAGTCATTGCAGACCCCCACAGTCATGTGATTGCTGTCTGGTTGCTTGGCAATCTATTCATACTTATGATTGATTACCAAGCACCCTATGATCATGTGATTGGTATTTCTAATCTTCCCTGTTGGCTTCTCCAGACAGTCAGTGGACAGCTAGCAGGAAAGATTGCATACCACTGCTGCCTGCAAAAAGGACTTGCTCTGTTTTCTGCAGCTGGCTGAAAAACATTAGAACAACATGGGAAATTTGCAGCAAGCTCTCCGAACTAGAAAGAGGTGTCTTGTCTCTGGATCTTGGTTTTAAATGCCCCATACTATAAATTCTCCCTGCCAAAATCATGCTTCGATTTCAGGATGGATCCAGTATGGGCATTCGCCAGATCCCAGAGACAACTCCGCCTCATTTATGAAGCTGACTGCAAAAACTGAACATCTTTTAAAAAGTAGCATTATTAGAAATTTGCCCTAAAATTGTGAAGAGGTCACAATTTAGTGATATTTAGGTGGAATTTGGTGGATGGAATTATTGCTAATTATGTCATCAGTGCTGTAAGACATTCCCTTCTTATTAAGAACTTCAGTTTGTATAACTATATAGAGGGAGCTTTGTGACATAAAAGGATTAACATAATAGTCTGTTGGCAGGAAAATACAGTGCCAACTCTGTTGTGTTCAAAATGTTTCACTGCAAATTGAAGCTAGTTTTATTTCATAGAAGCCAGGTTTTGGCAAAACAGATTCATATATTGGCTGAAATTAATATTTTGTGCAGAAGGCTTCCTTAAGTCTTTATGATCAATGTCACTCCAGCTTGAATGACATTTGGATATACAAAAGCCAAACAAGCAAACAGCAGCTATGAGATATCAAAACAAAATGATCTTAGCCAAACTATTGTAGTGTTATTGAAGTATCAAAAATCTAACTAAAATTATCATCCAATGATATGTTAAGATCAGAAAAATAAGTGTCAATTTGTATTAAGAAGCCTTTTATATAATACATTGTCATTTTTTTTAATTTTTAAGGACAAAAGAAATAGATTGGCAGCCTTATTTTACTACTCGAATTGTAGATGATTTTACTACTCATCTTAGAGTATTCAGAAAAGCTCAGCAAAGAATATCTGAAAGAGATGATCAGATTAAAGGTACTGCTTAAATATGTTCTCCTTACAGAAATGTTGTAATAAATTAAATGAAGACAGTTTCTTCCCTAAATTGCATTAATTCAATCTATTTTATGTATAAAGTTATTGCTATTTTATGTTTATTTTATTTATAAGGCCATCTGATTTTGATGCAGTTCAAGGTGTTGTACAAAAAAGTTAAACACAATATTACAATAAATAATATTGTAAATATAATAGACAAGCTCCAGAGAATATGAAAACTTGAAACAAATACTAAATCAGTGAATTCACAAATCATCCTGATACAATGCCTTCTGGAAGAGTCAGGTTTTTAAGGCTTGCCTGAAAGTCATGGCCATATGGACCTTGGGATCAATGCTGTTCCAGAAGTAAAAAACAGTGACACAGAAGGTACACCATGGTTTTTTCCATGAAAAGCTCCTTAATTTAATCACTATTCTATTTACATTACAGATAAATAGCATATTGTACGTGGCATGTATTGTATTGCTAGATACAGTGTTCCCCCACTGCTTTTTTCTGATTTCTTCATCCTTGCCCTGATTTTAGGCTATCCTATAATATACATTAAAAGGGATGCAGTGGCTAAGATGCTGAGCTTGTTGATCAAAAGGTTGGCAGTTTAGCGGTTGGAATCCCTAGCGCTGCGTAACGGAGTGAGTTACCGTTACTTGTCCCAGCTTCTGCCAACCTAGCAGTTCGAAAGCACGTAAAAAATGCAAGTAGAAAAATAGTAACAGCGCTCCGTGTACCTTCGGCATTTAATCATGCCAGCCAAATGACCACGGAGACATCTTTGGACAGAGGTGGCTCTTCATCTTAGAAATGGAGATTAGCACCGCCCCTGGATCTGGAAATGACTAGCACGCATGTGCGGGGAAACCTTTACCTTTACCTATAATATACCTTGCATTTTTTAAAAGGGAGAATAGAAGCAATTGCAGGGGAATTTAAAGGGAGGGATTAGAACATCTTGGTTATGTAAATACAGCATTGGATTCCTGCATAAACAGAAATCACTGGCCAAGGATAGATGTGCCTTCTGTAGAAAAGCTTTCTTGTTTAATTTCTATTCAGCCAGAACTCATAACCCTGGATGGAAGGAAGACAACTTGAAGGGGTAGAGTACGTGAATTGCTGGTCTTGAATGTAGAATATTTTGGCCATCTTCACATGATTTGAAAAGTAACTAAAAAGAAATGGAAATACAGGATGTGCAATACAGTACAGCCTAGCAAATAACAGTTTGCTTCCTACTGCACAAAAACCAGTAAGAATTATTATTCTTTTTTGCTTTGTGTTATACATTCAAACACAAGAACATATTCCTTGCTGTCTTTTGACTCTGATGTGGAAGGCACTATCTACACTATATATTGTAATTGCAGTAAAGCTGTACATACAATGTACTCTTCGAAATTGACAGTAAGTCTCTTCATTAGCAACTGGATACCTTTGAAAATGTAGGAAAAGAAAATTAAATTACTAAACCATATACAAATAGTACATAAATGTTAAAATAACAAATGTTAATAAGGAGGAGAAATCTGAATGCAGTTACTTCAGTAATAGGGATTATTGCAGATTAAAGTTCTTATAGATAAAATCTGCTCAAGTTTCCAATTTTGGTGTAGATGGAGCAGAAGATCTTGTAGATACATTTTTTGAAGTTGAAGTTGAAATGGAAGAGACCATCTGTCGTGATCTAGTCTGCACATCTCCCAAAGATGAAGAAGGTATATGATTATTTTCTTTGTTAATTATGCTTTAAATGAAATGTGCTGATCATCATCTGTATTCTACAATATCAATACAGATAACTTTTTATTAAGCTTTAAAACATTATAATTAACAAAGGGTAAAAATATTAGCTATTAATATGTGTTATGTTCAAACTATATGATTATATAATTATTTTACTATATTATAAAAGAATTATATACTTTAAAGGAAAGAATATGATTGTATGACTGGTGAAAAATTAGAAGTCTGCAGTGAACTATTTAACGGAAAAAGAAATTACTTGATTTGACTAAACATCTATATTAATAGTTTGGTGGTCAGTAAGCATTTTTATATCATAGATATAACATTTAATTCTGCTGCTGGAGAAAGGAAGCATATTTATATACTACTTTTCTGTTAGTTTAGAAATGTTGTACAATGTTTCAAATTAATCCTATGACTAAACTTATCTAAAGTTTAGATGTCTATTTACATCTAAAATCATCAATGGTATTTCAAATATGTAAAAACTTGGTAGATGGGTGGGTGGATAGATGGATATTACTAGATTTTGATACACATTCTTACCTTGTACTTTTAGGATTCCTAAGGGATCTGTGTGAAGTTTTACTGTATTTATTGCTACCTCCCGGGGACTTCCAGAACAAGATCATGAGATATTTTGTCAGGGTAAATTTAATTTCATATTATATGACTGCAGTAATCCAATATTCTTTAGCCTAAGAGCTGCATAATATTTATATAATAATATAAATATTATTTAATTATTTATATTATATAAATAATATTTATATAATAAAATATATAATTTAAAAATAAATATTAAATACAGTATTCATTAACAATATCTAAAAATAAAATGGGCAGTCTGCAATTGAGAACTTATTTTCAAAGAAGTCCCAGAAATTGACCAAGTTATTTTCTCTTCATTCTTTTATATCAACATGATATTGATCCATCTTTTGAACAGGAGCTCTGATTGAGGCAAGAAGCATCTGCCTGGAAATATAGGAGGCATGCATTGATTCTCTGCTATTTCTAATACTTCTGTATCTAATAATTCTAAACATATTACATAACTGTATATAAGCATAAGGATAACTCTTGGGTGTACATCATTCCTTTTATTTAAAATAACTTGTACTACCTTAAAAAAACTACCTTCATTTTCTCATTCAGTCACATTTGTGTATATGTTTATGAGCCAGGCTACGTTGTAATTTTTTATAGGACCATTATTTATATTGTATATTTTATATAGTTGAATATTTCTATGCTTGACTTGTGTCACTGAAATATTTTAGACAATTTATAATAAAATGTTTTTAGATACTTTGCTACCTGCTATATATTTATTATTTATTGCTTTCATATTTATTTTTGTTTTCCCCATATCATGAAGAGAAAAATTGTGTATTGGTCACATTTTACACTACAAATGCAGTGTTGTCCCTGCACACTCTTGAAGAGACCTATTTCCAAAGTATTTACTTTTACAACCAGTAATACATTTGGGATAGGAGAGTCTGTTTGAAATGAAATTATGTGGACTGATTTATTATTTGTAGAATATTTATTTGAAATCTCCTGTTTTGTCCCAGCTACCCTGAAAGAAAGACAGCGATGAGAAAACCTGTAACAGATGCTTTTGCTTCATGCTAATTGACACAAGGCTAAGTGTATAAATTATTAGATTCCAGTCTAATAATTATAGAGTACATTTTGTTTTTTTGTGTTTTGCAAAATACAGCCACTTGTATACACAAGTATTTCTTGATTTAGGACTATTCATTTAATGACAGTTTTAAATTATGGAAAATGTGACTTACAATCCATTCTCAAAGTTGTGTTACATGCCAATCTCACAACCAAATGATTGTGATTTGGGCACTTGGCAACTGGCTTGCATTTACAATGGTTGTAGCACCTTTCAGTGATTTGTGACTTTCCCAACTCGCTTCCAACAAAGTCAATTGAGGAAGTCAGATTCATGTAACGAATCTATGATTCATTTAACCATGTGATTCATTTAACAACTGCAGTAAAAATGGTTGTAAAGTTGAGTCTGATCATGTGATGACTCACTTAACAATCAAATTGCTTAGAGAGTGGAATTCCAGTCCTAATTGTGGTAGTAAGTTAAGAATTATCTGTATAAAAAGACAGGAAAAATGATTATAATAATCATCTTTTTTCCAGCTCTCCCACCACTAATCACCTATTTTGCCATCATATTTTTAAGAACTAATGCTCTACTGCCTTTCTTTTACCACTTAATAACATAACTACAGTAATCTTCTCAATTTAAATATATATTTTTACACAACATCCTCTTAAGTAAAGTTTTAATTCTATACCAGCATCCTTCTCTCTTTAAAATGTATATTGTGGTTGGGACATCTGATCTCTCCTAAAATTCATAAAATCAAATCCATAATATGATCTTTATTTGAAAGTAATCTAGCTGAACTTGGGTGATCTTGAAAAGCTAAGCAAGACCTGACCTAGTTAGTATTTTGATGGGATGATGTTAAACAATAAAGCTGTAAAATAGATTGGGAAACATTCTGAAAAATGCTATAGCAAACCATACAAATATTTCATCAGATTTTTTTTCCTGAGGTAAGTAGAACCACTTAATATATGATCGTTGGTTCAACCACAGTTCAAAGTTACAATAGCCTCAGAAAAAGTGATTTACGATCTGCCCTTGAACCTAGTCACATCATCCTTTTAGTGACAGGATCGCAGTTTAGATGCCTGACAAACAGCTCATATTTATTACCAGTTCAATATCCTGCATTCATGTGATGGTGATTTGTGACCAGTATCAATTGGGGAATGGGTTCACTTAACAATATGTAATGAATAATGAACCACAGTGATTTGTTTAATGATCATAATAAAAATGATTGTAAAATTGTGTCCAGTCATATGATGATACACTAAAAATTTCGACTTACAGTTGAAATTCTGATCACAATTGAAGTTGTAAGTCGAGGAGTACTGTAATTTGGTATTGACTTGCATAGAATAAAATATTATTATTATTCATTTTTAATAGTATCTCACACTACAATTAATTCATACTGTAAAAATGAAGGTTTTAAATAGCGCCATTACAGGTTTCATTATTAATTAACAATAACTATTGATATGTAGCCATTAGCTGTTATGTTGTCCATGGTTTAAAACCATGATCATGAAGAAATGCTTCAGAGTTCACATTTGTCTCATCTGTCTACTGTTCAGTAAGGTAGCCTAATTTTTGGCAGCAAAGCCTAATTTTTGGCAGCAAAGTAGACAGCCCAGGTGGCAGTAGACTATCTCTACCTAATCTGTTGCACAAAATATTAATGAAAGCTAGTTTTTATTTGCACTGTTTTCTTAGGATGCAAACTATGTAGTTATCTTCATTATATTAGTATTGTATTAAATATCCATGAAATTCTGCTGTTAAAAAAACTTTACATTGAACTGACTTAAGATTCAGAAACTAATAAAATTAGCCTTTTTCCAGGCTAATTTTTATTATCTACTGCACGGTTGACAAACTCATTGAGGGCTGTGGTTGACCTTGGGGGGCTAGGTGTATGTGGCCGACTACGTGGACGTGGCCAGCTTGATGCCACTCCCCAAACTGCTGGCATGTTTCCTCTTTGCATTGGGTAGACTGGGCCAAAACCACACTGGCCCGATGTTTCCTCTTCACATTGGGTAGACTGGGCCAAAGCATCACTGGCCCCATGTTTTCTCTGTGCATTGGATAGACCGGACTGAAGCCACACTGCCCCGATGTTTTCTCATGGGTAGACCAGGCCGAAGCCAGGTTGGCCCAATGTTTCCTCTTCACATTGGGTAGGCTGGGCTGAAGCGACACGAGCCGGCTCCTTACATTTTCCAGGACGGCCGCACAGGCCAGATCTGCCCACATCGCAGGCCAAATCTGGCCTGTGGGCCTTGTGTTTGACACCCTGAACTGCTGTTATGAGGTCAAGGAATTGAAATGGGATTGCATCAGGGCATTTCTTTATTGTTATCATGGGTAATTTGTCTTGAGGAAATCCATTGTCTTTAGTGAGGACAAATTGGCAGTAGGCTTTCTTCAGAGCTCTGAACAAACACAGTTACCAAATATAAATATCCTGTATTTCAAGAATACAGGACTGTCATAAACTTCTGAAGAAGAAGGAAAGTTAATTCAAATTCAATATTTAGGTCTCAGACCTTTCATGTTTTCTAGCAATATTAGTTTTTGTTCATCTTTCTAGCATTTCTCCTCTTTCCTTCAAATCTCAAATTTTGGATGAATCTTTCAAACTAGTAACTCAAGGCCAAGATATTGGTATAGATTTTGTAATTTGAAATCAGGGTAGTGGGGGTTTTAAATAATTAAAATGTACTGAGCTGTCTTCTATTTTAGATAGTCATCAGTATGTTGGCACTGCAGTGCCCGTAGAACATGAGGACAATGTATGCAGCCATTCTTTGTATTATTAAATTGCAGTGGAAGATGAGTAATGAAAAAGGATTTCAGTTTAATTATGTTCTTATTGGATTTGGTACTGAGAATTAAACTATGCTTGTGCTTACCTAAGGATACAAATCTGAAAACATAACATTAGCTGCTACTTATTAAAAAATAATCCTTAAAGTATATTAAATGTATTTTTCAAAATATATGAAAATTTTATTTAATTATTTATTTATTTATTCATTCATTTATTCATTCAATTTGTATCTCAATCCAATTGACTGTAAGGATAAATGGATTTAGCTGGCTTTTTAATTATTTTGGCAAGATCTTGAATCAAAAGTAATATTGTGCAAAAATTATATATATGAACTGTAGGTCTAATTTTACTGTCCATTATTTTTCAGGAAATCCTTTCTCAAGGAATTCTTCTTCCATTAATAAATCAGCTCAGTGATCCTGATTATATTAATCAGCATTTCATATGGATGGTAAGTTATTTAAAAATCATAAAGCCAAACCTGGCAAAGCAAAAACCAACAATTTTCAGGCTAAACAAAATAGTTGAAATATATCTCAACTTCAGCTTCCTCCTATTCTTGAAACCAGCACATTATTGACTCAGAAAAAAAAATAATAATAATCCTGGAGATAGCTGGGGAGATAGAGGATAGAAAGATACAGATAGCTAAAACATGGGTGGATAGTTAAATAGATAAACATGGCTAAATAGATAAATAGATAAATATGTATTAATGTATATGTTTGAATTTGTGGTATAAAGGTAAACCCAATCTTCCTTCAAATTCAAATGCACTTTTATTATTGATGGTCCTTCCTTATTAATCACAATAGGGACCAGCAATTCCGCCACTAAGTGGTGGAGTCATTTAGCATCATATTACATGACCGAGCTGATATCAGTTCCTGCTAAGGGCATTAAACAAATAAAGAAGTTATTAAGTGCGATGTCACATGATCACAACTTGTCATTTTCTGTCAGCTTCTTCATTGGCTTTGCTTGTTGGAAGCTGGCTGTGCAAGTAGTGAGATGCTGCTACCATCATAAATGTTTGCGGGTTCCTAGCACCCAAATCAAGATCATTGACCGTGGGGAAATTGGTACTTTGAAGACTGATAAATCTTTGTTTTCAGTGCCATTATAAGTTTGAAAAACCACTGGATGAGTGGTTGGTATATTTCTATGTTGTTGTCTATATTTTCTAAATAAGAAATGAGTGAATATTGGAGATACAGAATTTGGATACATTAGGCTTAACAATTAGTGAAGAAAGACAGTTGCATAGGTGATAAATACTCTGACACTTATGACCTCTCAGATTGTGGAAATATCAAAGGACCGGCCCACGGTGCCTTTGCTGGCCAAAAACAGGCTGCCTGGAGGTCCTCCAAAGCCCCCTGCGGTCCATTTTCAGTCTCCCTGGCCTCCTGCAGCACTCTGCCAGCCAAAAATGGACCACAAGGAGGCCTCTGCGCAGTCTGTTTTTGGCCGGCAGAGTGCTGCTGGAAGCTGGGGAGGCTGAAAAGGGGCCACACAGCCTCGGGGGGCCTCCATGTGGCTCATTTTTGGCTGGCAGAGTGCTGCTGGAAGCCAGAGGGCAAAAATGACACACAGGGGGCTGCACACAGCCCCCCTGCACCCCATTTTGCCTGGCAGGGGGCTGCAGGAGGCGTCTGTCCCATCTCTCCCCCCCCCCACCAGCCCGCGGGGGAGAATTACAATGCTGATCTGGCCTCGAAGAAATCCAGTTTGACACTCCTGTGCTAGTTGCATCCGACTTTAGGGGGTGGTACTCATGTCCATCTCTAGACAATTTAACCAGTGCTGTCCGAAAAGGGGCGTTGGTCTTACCTGATACGCACCTCGTTAGGTGGAGACAGCAGCCAGGAATGGGTGTTCTCACCTGTTCAGCTTGAAGGGCTGAGTCTGTAGCAAAATTAAGCTCCGCCTTTGTTGCTAGGAATATCCAGCTTTTGACGAAGACGATTAACAGACTCGACATCTCGGGAGAAAGAAAGAAAGGTTAACAAGAAGACTACACATGCAAAGGGTGGGGCTGGCTGCTGTCTCCCTCCAATGAGAAGGTGTGTATCAAGTAAGACCAACACCCCTTCTCCATTGTGGATGGAGACAGCAGCCAGGAATGGGACATACCAAAGCTTAGTGTCCCAACTACGGGCGGACCCCAGTCTGGTCCTAAGTTTCTGTAGCAAAGTGAACCCACTGTAGAACCCTACAGCCAAATGCCACCTCCGCCGAGGCAAACTGGTCCAGCTTATAGTGCCTAACAAAGGACGAAGAAGACATCCATGTTGCCACCCTGCAGATGTCGTTCAAGGACGCCTGCGTGGCCAGGGCCGCAGAAGTAGCTGTGCTACGCGTGGAATGCTCCGTCAGATGTGATGGCCGAGGCAAGGAATGCAGTTTGTACGCCTTGGAGATCGTCTGCCAAATCCATCTGCCAATGGTGGAGGAGACCTTGGAACCTAAAGACACTGGAATAAAGGAAACAAACAAGGACTCTGTCCTACGGAAGCCAGCAGTCCTTTTGAGATAAATATGAAGGGCCCTTGGAACATCCAACGTATGCCAGCGCCGTTCTAAAGGGTGAGCTGGATGCGGGCAAAAATTTGGGAGGACCAGTTCCTGCATGCAATGGAAAGTCGTATTGACCTTCGGGATGAAGGAAGGGTCCATACGAAGGACCACGCGGTCAGAATGAAAAATGCAAAGGTCACTTCGTACAGAAAGGGCAGCAATCTCTGAAATCCGCCTGGCAGAGGTAATTGCCACCAAAAAGGCAACTTTGCATGACAGGAGACGGAGGCTGGCAATCCTTAAGGGTTCGTACGGGGCTCCTGTAACGGAGTTCAAAACAATAGATAGATCCCAGGTGGGATATCTGTGTACCATGGGAGGACATAAGTTAGTGGCTCCCCGCAGAAACCTATGTAAAAGAGGGTGTTGAGACAAGGAGGCAAGGGACCCACAAGTGAGGACCATAGAGATAGCCACCATCTGCCTCCTAAGCGTATTGGGTGAAAGTCCCCTCTCGAGTCAGTCCTGGAGGAAAATCAGGATGTGAACAATTGAGGCCTGAAGGACAGAAACCACCATCACACCAATCACAAAAGGCACACCAAGTGGCCGAATAAATGCGGTCCATGAATGGTCTCCGAGACGCTTGGATGGTCCGGATAACCCTGGAGGGGATGTTGTCCCTACTCAGAGGGCACCGCTCAAGCGCCAGGCGGTCAGTTGGAGCCACCAAAGGTCCAGGTGGACCAATGCCCCCTGGCTGAGTGAGGCCACACCCTGAGGGATCCTTCGGGGGGGGGCACTGACAATGATTTGAGGTCGGAGAACCAAGATCACCGGGGCCAATGTGGCACCAGAAGAATGACCTCCGCTTCTCCAGTATCTTCTGTACCACTCTTGGAATGAGTGGCATTGGGGGAAAGGCATAAAGGAGCCTCTCTGGCCAATGACTGCGAAGAACGTCCACTCCCTCCGCCTGAGGAGCTAGAAATCGAGCATAGAAGCGGGGGAGCTGGGCATTTTCCGGGGAAGCGGTGCACCTCTGGAAGGCCAAAGAGGTTCAACAGGTCCTAGAAGATAGAAGGATACAGGTGCCACTCCGTGTGGTCGATAGTCTGGTGGCTGAGCCAATCCGCTTGCATGTTGGATGTCCCCGAGATGTGCTCCGCTGCCAAGGAACGTAGGTGACGCTCCATCTATAGACCCAGTCTGGAAGCCTCCAACATTAGACTCGTAGATCTGGTGCCCCCCTAGCCGTTTATGTGAGCCTTCGTGGCCACATTGTTGGTACGGACCAACACATGTTGGTTCGTGACCAGTCGGCGGAAGTGTCTGAGGGCCAAATAGACTGCACGCAGCTCCAGCCAACTGATGTTCCGGTGTTGCTCATGGGCTGATCATAATCCCTGAGCTACCTGCGTCTGAAGATGTGCCCCCCAACCGGAAAGGCTGGTGTCTGTCGTCAATACCAGATGGCGAGGCTCGTTGAAGAGCCGCCCTTTGGAAATGGCTGGAGACCTCCACCAGGTTAGGGACCTTCTGACGCTGGGGGGGAACCCGGACCCTGGCTTGAGAATTGCCTTTGCCCGCCTTCTGAAAGGGCAAGAGAAACCATTGAAGGTTCCTTGCATGAAGGCGAGCCCATGGGGTAATGTGGATGGCTGAAACCATCTTACCCAGCAGATGGGTACCTTTACCTAAGGTAGACAGCAAAGCCAGGGGAACCTTACACTCCTTCTGAACTTTACCTACAAATTCTTTAAGACTGACCTGTTGCTCCTGAGAAAGATAGACTTTACCCTCTAGGGAATCTGTTGCTGCCCCCAGATACAGAATACGTGTCAACAGAGCCATTTGACTTTTCGCTATATTAATAGAGAAGCTGTGCTCTCGGAGACAATGCATAGTTACTTGGAGATCCTCTAAGGAAATATATTTAGAAGAGGACTGAATTAAAATATCATCCAAGTAACATTGGACACGGACAGGGATAGCCCGAAGATGAGCCACCAAGGCGGTTAGTACCTTAGTAAAGGCACAGGGAGCAGAAGACAGTCCAAATGATAAGGCATGGTACTGATAATGCATATCAGCATAGTAAAACCGCAGATATTTGCGATGTGGGGGAAAAATGGAGATATGTAAATAAGCCTCAATGAGGTCAATAGAAGTAATGAAGTCACCCTTCCTGATGCCAGCCAAAATTTATAAACAACATAGTCAGTCTTTTAAGGTCCAGAATTGGTCTCCACCCATCCGAGGACTTGGGGACCAGAAAGAGCAAGGAATAGAACCCTTGGCCCGTCTGATCCTGTGGCATCTGCTGGATGGCTCGAATGTCCAGTAGGTGTTTCACGGCCAAATCCATGAGGGCCTTTTTGTGCCCGTCTTTAGAGACGGGACAGCGGGACACCAGAGCCTGGTGGCTCAGCAGACTGATAGCATTGTGATTAACACCAGCTGTCTGCAATTACTGTAAGTTCGAATCTCACCAGGCTCAAGGTTGACTCAGCCTTCCATCCTTTCTAAGATAGGTAAATTGAGGACCCAGTTTGTGGGGGCAATAAGCTGACTTTGTATAAATATACAAAAGTATGAAAGCTATTGCTTAACGCATTGTAAGCTGCCCTGAGTCTCCGGAGAAGGGCGGCATATAAATCAAATTAAAAAAAAAAAGAATAAAGAAACTCAGAGGGGTGTAGAGAATTTCAAGGGATAGACCAGATCTTACCGTATCCCTGACCCAAGAGTCCGACATGAGAATGTCCCATCGGTCAGCAAATAGAGCTAGCCTGCCGCCGATGGAACCGTCAGACATGCAGCTATCGTTGGCGGCGGAAAGGACGGCTTCCTCCTCCTCGAAAGGGCTGCTTGCCAAGGAGCGTTCTACCTCTGTATGACCTGTCTTGGGTCCCCCGCTATCTAGGTACG